GTCATTAATTTTAAATTTTGATCTCAAAGTTTAATTTTATTTATTATTATTCTTTTCATTTTTTTAATTTTTGAAAAAGTTACGCTTCTATTATTATTATTTTTTTATCAACTAAGAGGTTTTAATAATTAAAATATCATAATTATTTATAAAAATATTTAAATATTTTCAATGAATTTATAGACATAAAAAAATTATTAGACAATTGAAATGTGTTATCTATAAATTTTAGATCTTAAAAATAATATTATTCTAAATAAATATAGAATTTAGTCTCAACTTTTGCTATAAATATTAAGTATTGTACCAACCTCTCATTTAAACCAAAAAAGGTCCCAACGTTTTCTAAATTACCAACTCTAGTCCCATCCTCAATCACTTTTACTAAGTTTTAAAGGTTAAAGTACCATTTTGGTCCCTCAACTTTTCATTTTGGCACCAAAATTGTCTCTCAACTTTAAAAAGTATCAAAATTATCCTTAAACTTTCTTTTTCGATACCAAAATAGTACTTCCGTTAGTTAAGTGCACAGGTGGCACGTTAAGATGCTATAAAATCATTGGCTTTTTAAAATTTTAATGACATATATATCTAGCAAAGAAAATATTGTTACCGTAGCATTTTTTTACACATCAGATTGTCGTCTTCTCAGTTTCTCCTTTTAGTGGAGCCCACATGAAAATTTGTTTTCTCTTTTTCCAGTTTCAATCAAGTTCTCCAAAAATCATAGTTTTCTTCGTTTCTCTTTTCATTTCCTTTTCAGATTCAAAACCCTAAACCTACTATTTCTGCAAAATTAAAATCAAGATTAGATCATCCTTCTTTTTTCTTTTTCTTATTCTTTCTTTCTCTCTCTTCTCCCTTCTTCCTCTCCAGATTTGGGTTTTCTCAAACCCAGATCTGGGTTTTCTCAGGCTTGTTGAACCGGCCTTAGTTCGCTTGTTGTTTCTTATTTTCTTTGTTGATTTTCTAGTTATAATCCAACAAATCCATCAATTTTCTCTAATCCCAAATCTCTCTCTTTCTACCTACTT